GGATAGTCGTTTTGACTTATTGTTAACTTCAAGCTATTTCAAGAAGTCTTGAGTAATTGAGCTCTAACGACCCTAGATTGATGGTTTAATATTGGTGGTTTGATATACACTCGTACAGACTTACATCTCATCATCTCACTTGCAGATATTTTCATGATTACACAATTTCTGACATGCATTTGCCTTGATAATAAGTCCTGATAACGTGTACATGACGTTAGTTTTTTAATTATTATTCTGAAGCATACCCGTTATTGTGTACTCTGTATCACACGCTTAGAGACATCGACACACCTACACATACGGACTTATACACACACTCGATTACATGTACTATGCTCAAATTGGAAGGGCATTAATTAAATCATTTTATGAGAATCTAAATAGCAAGAATTATTGACGATACCGATACGTCGTAACAATACAAACAAGTTGCGAATGAACCAAAACAACATCCACAACATCTTGATCTTTATTTATATAATGAATATCTATATCTATTTATGCTATTTTAGTTGAGTTTTTAATTATGACGGTCTCTAGAGTCGGATAGTCGTCTTGACTTGTTGTTAACTTTAAGCTATTGCAAGAATGAGTTCTAGTCCTGACGACATTCTTCGTGTGAAATGATGGACGGGAACTCAGCTCATTTTAACCCAAAATGCGAGGAATGTCTTGTCGACTGCGAGGCCTGGATGTGGTACTAAAGCCGAACGGCTGCAGGAGAACGAGACTTAGAAGTTGTCGTCCCGTGGAATCAACTAATATATCAAATTGAAAGTCTGCACAACAAGATCACATGTTTATACGAGACCTTAGCTTTCATAGGTTATTTGTAGTAGGTAAGGCCACTAGTTTGGTTGTTGTCACCTCGCCCTGAATGCAACCATTTTGGACACATTCTTGAAATTTCTTCATTTTTTGGTGATAATATCGGAAAAAAAACCTCATCCGGAATCCTCACCCACAGTTGCTATGATGATTTTCAGTTAATGACTGAGAACTTGGTAGATTTGCATTAAGAGACAAAGTTGCAACTCATCAACAGAAATCCTCATATTGCATAAACCGCCATTCGATTATTGTTTGTGAAAATGGCAATAAAGCAGTTGAATCATATCAGAAAATGTACCTTATCTGAAACACTCTGCCGCAGCAGTAGTCATGATAATTTCCAGCGAATGACCGTGTCCTTGGTACATGTTCAAGTGTTTCGCCGGCACATTCTAGTTTACATCAATCCACAGTAATATCAACAATATGAGATGGATTCACCCTATTTCGTCTAAGGATAAGAGCAACTTTTGGGAAAGCAAGGCTATGTGAAATTGAATGGAAACGT